AAATATTTTAAGCAGAAGTGTACTGCAGAAGATGCCTGCATTCCCATACCTCAGCATCTTTGCATTTGTGGGACACCACGAAGGGAGGATGCTATACATTATGTATTATTCTGTGGCTTTTATGCCAGCCCAAGGAAAAGATGTATTGCTTCCTTGTCAGAAGAAATGTCTGATAAAACTTTGGTGCAACTATGTGCAAGTTGCTCATTGCTATGGTTTCCTATGCAACCAGTCCATTGTTGTAGATTTTTTTGGGGGGGGGGCAGAATTAGAACAAAGGATTTAACAGTTGTTGCAGTTAAACTGTGCACATGATGAATTGGCTGGTACATGCATTTTACTTATTTTTTAAAATACTTTTGATAAAATGTATAAGCACCTACACTAATATGGAAGAAAACTGGTGGGACCTAATAAATTTCTGTTCATAGAAAAAGTTTGTGTCTGTGAATTTTAAGAGTTTATGCTTTGAGGATTTTCCTTCCAGTATGTTTTGAAGGGCAAAAGCTGTCGCCATCAGCTGCTGTCAACATAATTTGATACTGCATTCACATTACATGATACCAGGAACTGTCCAGTAGAAGGTCACTGTAAAGAAAAAAAAAATCAGATCTGTCCACCTTTCACAAGTGTCCTCTTTCACATGTTTGCTCTCATGAAAGATGCCCACAGACGCATGTTCTCAAAAGGAACTACAACATGAAAGAAAGGGCATGATGTATGGAATTGTGAAGGGGCTGCCACTGTCCCTCACCCCACCCCCCAAAAGCCTGGGTGGAGTGGCTGCTTTTGGGCTCTCAGGAAAGCCAGGAGGAGGGAAACCAGGAGTCGGGGTGTGAGATGCACCTGGCAGGACAGGACGGCCTGTCAGTGGGGTTAAAGGATACAGAGAAAAGGGAGGAGGAGTTTGGAGGTTTTCAGAGCCCACAACACCCTGTAAGGGTTGACAGAGGAGAAGGAACCCTGAGACTCAGTAGCAGAAACAGAGCCGCTTTTCTGCATGATTGGCGAGGTGGTCTGGGACCTGGAAGATGGCCTCTGGCAGAAGTTGACTAGCACCTTCCCTGAGGCATGGTGCCAAAGCCAGGGAAGAGAGACTGCCATCACAACTTCTTCAGCAAATGCTCTTGCTCCACCAGCTCCTCAGCACCAAAGGTGCCCAAGAGATCCTGTGGCACACTCCTGCACCCAGCTGAGATGCTGGCAGCATAAATGCCAGCATGAGAGCAGCAGGAGGAGGAGACTCCTCAAACAGCAAGGGAGCAGCCACTTTCGCTGCATGTACCAGCAATCTTTAAAGGGCTCCAAGCTTGGCCCCCGAGTGAACTTGTTCATGCAGCTTCCCTGAACTACAACTTTAGTGGCCTCAGTGAAGGGAACTGATGCCAACATTGAACTATTTCCAGGGGTCTAGTGTTGGAAGCTCAACTAGGATGTGGGAGGGCGGTGACAAACTGACCGAGAACTGTTGTTAGAAATCAATATTAAATTTAAAAATACCACTACCAGCAACCAATTGAATTAATGATGGGAGAAATCAAGACTCCTGGTTCTGCCAGGGGCAGGGGTGGCGGAAAACTACAAGATAACTGAAAGGTACATAGAAATAGGTGATCCCCATGACTTATAGTTCAGAAATGTCAACAGAACAAAGTTATACAATATTTAGATAAGAACACATAAAAACTGCTCCTACTCAATAAAGCCAAGCACACCTGCCCAATATGTCTAAGCCTTATAACGTATGCAATTTTCTCCATACTTGTTCGAGGTCAGTGTTATTGGCTTTATTTGAGGTGTCTGAATGTATTTTCATGTAAAACCTGTACTTGTCTAACGGTTTTATGTTTTTCAAGTGGGACAACGAAATGTGGCAGTGTTGAACTCCCTTGTTTACTGTTCCAGCCAGCTATGCCTTCCTGACAGAATATAACTGAATACACACATACTTTCTGCTACCTCTTCTGAGTGAGCGATGCCATTTTGTTTACATAAGTAAAAGCAGTCATGCCCGAACATGTGAAACAAAGTGAGTGATTTTAAATACAATATACTTTCTTTAGTTCTAAGTCTTTAAAAGCAGAGATCAGAACATGTGAAACAAAATGAGTGATTTTAAATACAATATACTTTCTTTAGTTCTAAGTCTTTAAAAGCAGAGATCAGGCCTTCCAATAGCTTATTCCAGCTGCTTCTACTTTAGTATTCTCAAATACCATATTTTTTCCATGTATAATATGCCCCTCACGTATAATACTCCCCTTTCTAACCCAGAATTTCTTTCTTTGCAAGAAAGTGGAGAGGAAAAGCAGGAATCGCTTTGATTTATTTATTTATTTTTATTTTATTAGATTTATACCCCGCCCATCTAGACCGAAGGTCTACTCTTGATGATTCCTGCTTCCCCCTCCCCCTCCTTACATCCGTGTATAAGACAACTCTAAAATTTTAATCTAAATAGTTTAGAGAAAAGTATCATCTTATACACAGAAAAATATGGTACTTGGGATTTGTCACACAAATGAAAGATTCATTTGGAGAGTATCACAAACATAACATTTCACACTAAAACTAAAGTGTGACTATAACCAGACTACAGTAAGGTTAGGGAACCTTTGACACTCCAAATGTTATTACTGTAGTACAAAACCTATTGTGCCTTACAGCTGATACCATTAGAGGGGGCTCTTGGGACAAAGTCTAGAAGCACATGGACAGCCAAAGTTTTCTCACCCCTTAACTATATGAACCGAAGGACTGGCAACTTGGCTGCATTTGGGAGTCTTTAGAATTGCAGAAAATTATATCCCTTTAGCCATAAGAACAAAGCGTCCCTCCCTTCTTTGCCATCTTCATTAAACAAGTCTGTGACATCAATAAAACGGAAAAGCAATAAAACAACCAAACTGTTCTAAAAGTTGTAATAGGTAAAACATTGTTATTAAATACATATGTTTCCTAAATTTTGTGAAGAATAAATTAACAAATTATTACATGTCATAAAGTAAATTTCAACTTGTGGTGACTCTTTCCAAGATTTTCTAGGTGTAGAGTATTCAGAAGTGGTATACCGCTTTTTTTTCTTCTGGGGGTGCTTTGGGATTGTGCAGCTTGGTCAAGGCTACACAGACTCCTGGGATGCACAGTGCAGCATCAAACACTTAACTTCTGGCTCTTCAGCCAAGTGCCTAGTATACTGAGCTCTTCAGGCAGCATAAGGAAGCAAAAGCCTGCACCAGTTTTTTTGTGGCACTAAACAACTAAACATTGATCTCAAAGAGCATTTGGTTTCTCTTTGAATTACTAAATCATCTTAACAATTACAGCAAAACACAAGTGGCACACTGGCTGCAGCTGAGGTGACTGTATGTAGTATATTTCGTCAAGAATCTCGGTATTTGAATACTAAGTTTCAAAACTCTGTCACAGTGAGATGCTTACTAGTTTGAGGGCAACAGCTAGCATTTGTTAAGCAAGCTAATGGCATGCATTCAGCTCTTGATCCATGGAGCAATACCAGACTGCTTGCTGCAGTGGTAATCCGAGAGTAACTTCTCTATACAATGTTCAGTGTCTATCAAGATGGCTCCATGGATACCATATCTGGAAATATTAGACAATATTACCAAAAGACAATTTGAACAAAATGCATAACTGGTGAGGAGGAAGGGAGGAAAGAACATGTAATTGCTATGTACTGGTGCTGACTTCTGAATAACTTATTGCGTTATTCATTTGTTGTTTTTTCAGAGTAAGTGGCAAACTACTGTGACAAATAAGATTGGTTTATCTAGAAGAGAGAACCAAGAGCAGAGACTGGCACAGGTTCCAGGGAGATGTTAACAAGCTGACCTAAGTCATTGAAGGTATTACTTCCTACTCAACATAGAATTAGAGATTGGTTTGACATAGAGATGGGCACGACCTTCCCCTGCCTTCCTCACCAATGACCCACTCACCAATCAAAACGTGCTCCTCTCCTCCTCTTCTTCTTTAACTGTCCAATCAGTCCCTGACAGGCGCACAGGTTTGCCTGTCCTCCCTCCTTGTCTGAATTGGTGATCAGTCAAGGAGGTGGGGCAGGGAAGCCCATGCTCCTGCCGGAGACTAGTTGAACAGCTGAAGAGGAGGAGGGGAGTAAGCACAAGCTGGTGAATGGGAGATCCAGGCAGGGAGGCAGGGGAAGGTAACGTGTGGCATCTGTGGTGTCGTGTGTATGAAATGGCATGAACCTTTGAACCAAGGTTCATGCCCATCTCTAGTTTGACATCATTGTATCTTTGGGATCCTGAAAAAGAAGACAACACAATAAATGACACCAAGGAACATAAAACAAACTTGAAAAATATTTCGCATAGATGCTGGCCTGAAAGATTTTGGAAAAACTAAGTATCTATAAGAATCAGAAGGTTGAGTCCAGTTAATCTTGAGCAACTTTTTCTGTGATTTTCAGTGTCTCTGCTCTGAATATAACATGTGGCAATCAAGAACATGTTATAAGCATTACTTACATCAATGTTACTAATGTAAATTCTATTTTAAAAATAATGTAAGGGCTGGTAACACTGGGTTGCTGTTTTCAGTACAGTATAATGAATAATATTCTCTCCTAAGCGATTACTTTTCAGCTGGGAGGATTTTGGCCATTTTTGTATATAAGTTTCTTTTTTAATGGGAAGGAATGCAACTATATAGATACAGTATACAGGACTAATGCCCCTCCCAATAGCAAGCAAATGATTTAATATTTAGAAGCAAAAACATGCTTTTAAAACGTAGTATGCCAAACTGTTTTACAGCTAAACTGGGTTTCCACCTGGAGTATCTGTTTCCTGCAATTTTGCAGAGTTGGAATTTCAATGGGATTAAAACAAGCTTGACTTTCTATCTACCTCACATGTGACAGTAATTTATTCTGTACTCACCATGTCAAAACAAAAAGAAAACTGTACAGTGTACAAATTCCAAAGTTATACATAAAAATCAGATGAAAACATGCAGTAGTTCCTTTGCATTTAATCAAAGTATAATTTCTGAAGTAAGATTTGAGGTTATTACTTTAAGAAAATAGTTACTTGCCCTTCCTTGAGTCTCTTAACTTCTGTTTAGTGTTATTTACAACTCTCCTATATTTGCAAAAGAAAGCTATGCTAATGTTCCAAATTTCCAAACTCAGAGCTATGGTTACAACTCTAAGAACACTTACTACAAGACTGAACTCTGTAGACTTACTTCTGAAGAAACACATAAGAGATTGCACTGCACATTTTAAAATGAAGGAGCTACTGACCATGCAACATGTTCAGAAGGGGGAGAGCAGCTAATTTATTGCAGCTTGCCATTTGTATCACAGAACATTTGTATACGAACAAAGTAACAAAATTTCTGAACGTATAAAAACAGATAATGGCCAGAATGCTCTTTATGCCCACTGGCCTAAGTCAATCCACGTAACTCTCAACTGTGAACTGCTGCAAGTTAAGAAGTTAGCATAGACATTTGTTGCTGTGTGACTCAGAACATGATCGCAAATGTCTATGTTGACTTCTTAACTTGTGCCAATTCACAGCTGAAATCTACCTTGATGGGTTTACACTGACCTATGTTTTCAACTGGATTTCAGCCAACAGATTTAGGTCATTTATTTTGAGCTTTGCACATTGGAAAGTCTATGCCCAATAAAAATTCATTATCCCCAGAAAGACAATTCAACTGTTGCATTTATTTAAGAAGCAAGGTGTCCAAATTTTCTTCTCAGTTTGCAACTCCATTCTGAAACATCTGAAGGTACTCCTTGTACAGTTTTTCTTGTGCTTCATAGAGTTTCTTTAGTTTCTTCATCTGACCTTTGCTGAGTTCTTTGCCTTCTATGTCATGGGTTGGAAACCCCTGAAAAACAGGAATCCAGTCTCTTAGGACCATATCATCTCAATGGTTGTGTTTGTCTGTGTTGTGCTAATACAGTTGTATTAGGTCTTGTTATCAGTATAAACAATACTAGCAAGAAAAGTGGGAAACTAAACTCTGTGTCTATCTATTCAAGACCAAGAAACTGTATTATGTAACTTGCAAAAGGTCTTGAAAATAAAAGGGAAAAAGCAATAAGCTTTATATTAAGATGGGAAATGACTGATAAGAGTTTGAGGCTAAACTTTCCCATTCTACCGGGTTTTAACATGCTGGCACCTACTCCAATACAGCAGGCAGGCAGGCAATGGGGGCAGCAATGATAGGCTCCTCTCTTTCACTTCCACCCCTCCCCATGCAAGCATGGTATACTATAAAAGGGAATTTTCAAATTAAAAGATTGACAATATAACAAATGCTACATAATAAAAACTTTAAAACTGTAGCAAAAGACTCAAACGTTTTACTGCTACACAGGTTGTATGGCAATAAGCCCCACAACCTTCAGTAATGTTTATTTCTGTAGAAATATGTGTAGCAAGATGTAGAGCTGGTACACAGTAGCTAAGAGAGTTGGCCACAGATTAGGAAATTTGTGGTTCAAATCTTTCCTCTGCTATGGACTCACTAAATGAGCCCCAAGAATGTCACTCTTCCTCAACATAATCCCTACTATTCAGAATGGGGGTGGAAGTGGGATAAAAACAGTAACTTCCCTTAAAACAGGGGGTCGATAATGTGTAAGGACCTCCACAGGCTGCACTCTATTCAAACACCTCTAACAACGACCACATCTGCACCTCAAGGGAGGGCATTTAAAAGTCATCTCTCCACTACCGTTTTAAGCCAGAAAAACCTTTTTAAATAAAAAGTGGGGACTGTTCACTTATTTCCATTTACTGAAAAGAACTTTTTTGGACAACAAATAAGCAGTGTGTCTGTGTGAGAGAGGTGGGGACATTACATTCATATGAAGCTTTTTTTGGGGGGGTGCATTTAGACATTTTTGAGCCCCCTTTCAGGGGTTCAAGGGATCAGGGATTTTGGAGCAGGTCTGAAATGGGTAGCATGGAATATAAGTGTCCTGTAGGCCACACTTTGCACACTCATATCTTGGATAGTTGCTGTAACAATTACAGCCAAGTAACATTAAACCCTTTGAACAGTAGAAAATGACATACAAATAACAACAAATATTGTTGTTATTGGACTGTATTAACAGTCATCCCCATGACCTCCAAATAAGAGATGCAATTCATTTTGAGAGCAACAAACATCTAAACAATTCTTACATTTTCATCAAATCTGGAATACTTGTCATGCTCTGATTTAAACATTTCTCCTGGTGAGATTTTCATCTTTGCCAGTTTTGCTGCCTAAAATACAAAATAAGCATTACAGTTTTGAAATATTATCACAGTCATCATGTGTTCTAACTGCTCAGTTGGACTGCATATTGCTTGATCTGCTTAATTCAAAAATATATCTGAAAATACACTTTGGATGACATTTTCAGAAAGTTTGATGAAGGTCTTCCCAAGAATATCACAAAAGTACAAAAGGCTTTAAACTTCAAGCTGGTTTGGGTTGCTGATACAAAATCATCTCAGATGTACAGAAATTATTTTGCTGCAGATTTATCTGGAAGAATGGTTATGTCACTAACCATGGTAATTAAAGGCTTCCCCATTCTCACTTGCAGTTCCTTTGCTTTACTAATTACTAATTCAATCATGCTGAAGCCGTGGAATAGAAGAGAGAAGTTTGCCATTCAGCAGCAGCAATCATTGGAACATTTCATCCTTCTGTCCTGTAACTCCCTGGGCTCCCACACAATGGAATGGATTATTTGCAGGAGAGAAAATCTCCCAGGTGAGGATATCATCATCCTTTCAAAGGTATAGTTACATTAACAGGATTTCAACCACTATGTAAATAGTATAGATATATTGTGCTGTAAATCTGTTTGTAGACACTGACACTATCAAGTCTTAAGTTTGATTTAATCTCTTTCACATTATTTGTGATGCATTCTTCATAAGGAGTGAATTACTCATGGTATTATGTTCTAGGGTTTACTTACCCTGAAAATTTAGGCATATAAAAGTTCATCAGTGTTCCCATATTTTGAATAGTGGTGTGGTTAATCTATAGTCTAAATTTCTTTGCTCATAGAGGAAAACGTCAGTCATAAACTGTTATGTGAGATAATAGAACTCAAACTATTCTATGACCTCACATAACAATAAAATGCTTAATGATCACCACTTTAAATCATTAGGGGCTAAGAATAAAGCTTGAATCATAACCCTCCTTGACCATAACCATCACTGTTAGTAACATTAAAACCTGTTTCTTTAAAAAAGCTTTAATTATTTACCTCCTGTTCTTGTTTCTTTCTAGCTGCTTCTTCTTTCTTTCTTTTCTTCTCTTCCTCAATCTATGGAAAATCAAATTGAGGAGCAGAATTACTATCTAAAATACAAATTTAAATCACTACCATTGTATTAATAAGCCATTCATATCTATGTTTTATACCTCAGCTTTCTAGATCAAACTCTTCCATCCAGTTCTAACCAAAACAAATGGCCTCTGAAGTTATGAGAAAATTATAATTAGCAGTTCAACATCTTCCTTGGATACACATGGGCCGATGATGACAATAATGCAACACAAGTTGTGTGTACATGCTAATAAAACAACAGTAAACTCGAGATTTATGCCAGAAGACTCTTCCCACATTACTGAACTATGGCTAGAACAAAAATACATTTATATTTACAGTGGAGATTACTATCACTTATGGATGAAAAAACCCCAATAATCTTAATTATAAATGAGAAAAATCTCTTTTTCTATGAGCATGGCATCTGATAACTATGTTGTCAACCATGGTTGACAACCAAGGTGAACAAACCAAAAGGATACTATAATTTTCTTAATCAGAAACTCTTAGCCACAAATATGAAGCTGCATAGTCGTTTGAAAGGAAATGAACTGGGCAGTTGTAGAAGTCTGTGTGGTCATGCAACTGTGTGCTGGGGCAGAAGAACGTTACCAGCCATTTAGAGCCTGGATAAATCCAAGGTCCCTAAGGATGAATACGGGTGCACAGCTTGGGGCACATGGCTACTTTTCTTTTTACTAGCACATACATATATACTGGACCAACCCAATAGAACAGACAGAACTAAGCATACAGACAAAGACGATTTGAAGAAGTATAGACCTTTTTCTTTTCCTCTCTTTCTTTCAGCAAGGTGTCTCTGTCCACTAGTTTGACCACAGTTGGAAGTCCTAGAAGGGGAAAAAATTATAAGGACTATACACTACAGATGTATGTAGCCCAACATATACATGCTAAATGGATAATCCAGCTACTGCATGGGATCCTGCTACCATAAATCTAAACAGATAGGCTGGCTGCTGCTCTGCCTTAAAAACAAAAATTTCTCTGCCAGAGCTATACAGCTTTCATAGCAAGAAGGTACTAAAGATCCATTAGCAAAAATTCAGGATTGTTGTAAAGATACTATCTCAATATAAACAAGATAATTTTTTTACCCTTTTAACTATCAGTATTCCAACATCAGTTTTAAAAATGTCCATCTGCCTGAATATTACTTAAAGTGGCATATTCACAGTGGAACACACTGTGATTCAAATATATACCAATTATGTGCAGCTGATTTATATTCCTTGGTGATGGAAGCACCAATTAATTACATGCCCTTGTTATCTGATCTTATGTCTGGGGTTAAGTAGGAATAATTCCCATTTAACTCTAGAGGGCTTACTTCTGAGCATAAGATTGTACTGTTCTCCACATGAATGTCATTTATTTCACTTATGTGCTGCCTTTCTCCCAGAATGGGTTTCCAGGGCAGCTTACAGAAGAGTTAAAACAACAGATAATTAAAATACAGCAAAATCATAAAACAAAATTAAATCCAATTATTTAACTAAAATACAATTAAAATTAACGCTCTTCAAAATCACTTTAATCATCACCATCATAATTTACTTTGAAAGAGAGAAAAATGGCTGAGATCTTAAAGTAGAAGACTCTTAATTGACAAAGGCCTGTCTAAATAAAGGATAGCAGGGAGGGGGGCAAACCGAGCCTCTCTTGACAAGGAGTTTTAGAGCCCAAGTTCCCAAGTTCCCCATCACACCAGCCTCTGAAGGTGGTGGGTTCATGAGAAGGGCCTCTTCAGCACAGCCTCTTTGTTAAGCCCAGGTGGGGTTTCTATGAGAGGATTCAGTCTTTCAGATAGCATGGACTCAAGTTGTATAGGGCCTTATATATCATAGAAATACTTTGTATTATGCCCAGAAACATGAACTACTAGGCAGCACAGCTGTTGGAGAAAGGGAATTATATGTTCCCTGTGCCTTGTTACAGAAAGAACATGAACAGGCATGAGAGATTTGTCAGGCTGAGTTCCTATTGGGTCCAAGCATGTTTGCCCCAAAAGAACTAGGCAAGGACAGGGTTCTAAGACCTCATCTCTGTGAGCTACTGATTCTTCAGTCACATGACAGAGATGAAGGAGCACTGATCCAATTTAAGAGATCAGCTAGATCAGTGAAAAGATCTTTAATCTGAATATCAACTCAGTTAGCAGTACTCACAGCCTAACAAAGATCCATCCCTTAATATATACAATTTAGGTTTAAAAATATACATAAAGGGGGTGGTATATGGTGGAAAGATCTCAGCTGCTAGTTAATAGATTTTCCTGTTGTATGGCCGTTTTGAATGGCATTGTATTTACTGTTGGTGTTGTCTTGAGGCTATCCATGGCAAAAGGAAGGGCATAAACAAATGAATAAAATGGCAACATTATGTTAAACTGCTGACAAAAATGGTACCAGACAAACTGAATCAAGATGCATAGGGCTTTATAGATAACATTTTTTGTAAGGACATGATCATTTCTTGTCCAAGAATCCACAGGGAAGGCTCCTACACCTTTATGGATTGTGCAGAAAGGGGGATTTTAGCAGCAGTAGCTTGCAAACATCAGCTGGGATTTCAGACAAAATCCTCTCTAATGAAAAGAGACTCTAAGCTGACAGCAACAGTGTAAACAAACTATATAAAAGCTCTTGGGCCTCAGTGCTGAATCCAATTGCATCTATGCAAGTCCCAAAGTTACATGTGTTGCTTTACGGAGGAAAGCCATTTTTATTAATCATAGCATCACAGAATAATGGAATTGGAAAGGGCTTATAAGGTAATTCCTGCTTGGTGCAGGAATTCAAATCAAAGCACATCTGACAGATGGTTGTCTAATTTTCTCTTGAATGCTTCCAATGGACTTCTCACCACCTCCTGAGGTAATTGTTTCCATTGCCGTAACAGTTAAGTCCCTTTTTCGACGTCAATGGCAAGACCTCCTACGACTTCGGCTGTAGTCAGAGTCGGAAGGGGAGGAGTTTCCTCGACGCCGATGTCCGTGTCTGTGTTTGTGTCAGTGTCGACGTTTCTTAGCGGGAGGCTCATAGTTGTCCTGATCAGACAGTGGGCATCGAGGAGAACGAGCCTCGATAGGCTTCTCAGGTCGACCTTGAGGAGGTGGAGGAGACCTGGAAGGTAACGATCCCGATGCAATTGAAGGGGAGCGAGATGCCCACCCTGTTAGAATTGGGCTAGATGGGGCATTAGCTAAGCCAGTCATGACTTGAGCAAGCTGGCTAGCTGTAGGCGACCTTCCCCTGTCGATTGGTGGTTCTTGTTGAGGTGGAAGGGAGGCGGCTAGATCAGATGTGGAGTCTCGGTCCCGAGACAAATCTTCCAGAATAGGCGAAGGCAATGAAGCAGAAACTGGTGGAACAACAATAGTAAGCTCATGACTCTTTGACTTAGGCTTCTGAGGTGCCTTTTTCTGCTTGGATTCTGTTGATGTCGACGGGGCAGAAGAAGTAGATGGAGGTTTCTTTGCTGCAGCTGGTTTCTTAGATTTTCCTTTTGAGGTTTTCTTGGTAGTCTCCTTTGTTGTTTGTGAAGGAGATGACGAGACAAGAGTAACTTCCGTGCGGACAGTGGAGGCGGATTGGATAGACTCCATGTTAGAAGGTTGTGAGGTGGACAAAGTCTGGTTCCAAAGAAAATATTTTAGGCGTTGCTGACGGGCCTTGAGCGTAGCCTTGGTGAATTGTTTACAATGTTTGCAATGAGTGGTCGAATGAGTCTCTCCAAGGCAGAAAACACAAAGGGAATGTCCGTCCTGAAAGGGCAATTTTCTTGAACATGACGAACAGCGGCTAAATGGCCCTCTCTTAGGTGACATAAGCCAAATAGCGTGGGAAAACGAAGATAATAAGTGGAAATTGAAAGCATCCGGGAGGCGCATGGCGCCTCAGCAGGCGGTAAATAGGCCTCAATAGAAAGCAATTAAGGTAGTTAAGGTACTCGCTGAATCGCCAGAGGCAAAAGAATAGTCAGGCAGTCCGTGATCAGGGCAACAGAAGGCCAGGTAAATGAAAGAGCCAAATGCAAGTCGAAAGGAGTCAGGCAAAATAACGAATTTGAAGAGCTCTGAGCGAGAGGTTCCAACTCCGCGGGCGGAAAAATGGAACTCGGGCTTTTGGCGGGTGGAGTGTGCGCAATACAGGGCAACCTAAACTTTGTTACTTTTCTCTACAGCTCTGGAAGATTCCGAGAGGTCCAGCGCAGGCGCTGTTTAACCCACTAGTGTGGATTCATAGAGACCATGTTGAAGAACAATACTTTTACTGAAACTGCCTAGATTTCCAGTTAAAGCATCCTTATGTCTTTTCTATTTCAGTGGAATAAAAACTGGTGGGAGATGGAAGTGCCTAACTTTAGCAGGACTGTACCTATCATTAAAATAAGAATTACATTGCTGAAGATAAAGGGCAGAACCTTCTTCATTCCTTCCATCTGCATAATAGGCTTGCCAAGTACATCGATTCACCCACATCACTATGAGGCAACATAAACAAAAAGTACTGGATCTTCATGTTAAAGGATTACAATATTAAAAGAAAAAGATTTGAAAAGGGCTAATATCTGGACAAAGGTAGTCAATGATGATGACAGTGGGGATACTGCTGCTAATTTAAAAGTGATAGCCTATCAAGATTGTTGGGCAATTTTTAAACTACTAGCAGAAAAATTATCTTCTTTTCATGTGGCCATGAGGCTGGAAGGAGGTAGGGCTAAGAGCCAAGGCAATGATAGGTATCTCATATAGCTGCATGGCTGTGAGTACAACAACAACCTTTTAAGATAGAAACATGATGTATAGTGATTTCATTGCTACGCTGGTCACTTGGGAATTTTTGCACACTTAGTTTTCTTTTTTTGTTGTTGTACTTAAGAAATCCTGTGATGGTTTTTCCCTTTACATTAACCTCTTTTCTAAAGTGTTGCAACCTTCTTAAAAATCAGTATGTAATAAAGCTTAACTTCTCTTTGCACCATCCATGAAAGGGGCATGCTTAGAGCCTGAGGAAGTGAATTTTATTCATGAAAGCTTGCTATTTGTTTTATTTTTAATGGTCCAATAAAAGCTATCACCTACTCTTGCATTTGTGTAATCTTCGAGACTACACTGGCCCTTTCCTTTATTCCCATAAAAGGCATGTCCTTTCTGCTTGCTGTATATATAAAAAGTTTGGCAGTTTTACTACAGACTAAGTAATTAAGTCAAGGCCCTCCCATTAGCTCATAAATAATGGACTGAATAAAAAATTTTATAGGTCTGTGGCACAAGCAGTTGGGACTCTTTTCAAGTTTGTGCAAGAGGGGATTCATAAGAGGGGATGTATAAGCAGAAACCCTGTTGCTTTGAATGGAGGCAATTTCCATTTGCTGTACAGCAAGCCAAAGATCACATGGGAGCTCCGTGGGAACAATATTAAGCTCTGTTTGCTCTCAACGGAATGTTCACCAAAGATCTGTTTCAGCCTTAGCTGGTGGATAAAACTAGGAACGAGAGTTACTACTCCAATTCTAACCATATTTCTTTGGACAAAATACCCAATTTATTTTATAATTTCTACATAAGGCTTTCTGAGCCTTCCTATTAATTTTACAGCCAGGCCTTCAGCCTCATGATCAGCATCTCATTTCACAAAAGGAAAACAGAAATGAAAGATACCAGCTTAGCCAAGTGAAGCTGGAAGTTGCAATCTACAGAATTATATTATTAATTTACAGGTTAATTACCTTCATGATCTTCAAACCGAACTCCATGCTCAGGAAGGATATCATCTCGAAGAGAATCACAAAGTTGCAGAACTTCAAACACTACAATAACCATGAGTGGGAGAAAAAACAAACAACTAACATCAGTCTTAACAACATGTCATTCTTTTTTTCACCTGGGCATTTTATGAGTCAAAAACAGCTTTTTGGCATTCTGTGGGATACAGAACTTTCTGTCCCCATTTTGAAGGAATGCCCCTAATGACCTTTCTACATTTTATTATTTGTTAATCTAAAAGGACTGCTTTCTTACTTCTCAGAAGGAAAAAGCTACCAGAGGAGTGAAAAAGCATCTGACTCAAACATTACTTCTTTGTTGTCTACACTAGGGCTGTTCTGTCCACTAGGGGTGTTCTGCCAAGTAGAAGTACAGTCTCCTGCACACCTTCAAAACCTAATCTGGAGCATTGGGAAGCCCCTCCAGAACACATTTCTGGGTGATCTGGAAGAGGATGAGTTCAGGGAAGAAAATCACTCTGCGTAAGAACCTACTGCAGCACAGCGCCCTGTTTTCTTCAATTGTACATGCAAGCCATGATTTAGTGAATATGAGTTCACTCAGCCAAGTGAGTGAATATTAACAAAATGTTCAGGAACAAAAAAAAATGTTTTGATATTCTTTGCCTCTAAGGAAGAAGGTGAAACTCAGTAACATTTCCTGACAAGCTTTTATTGGGGGTCATTTCCTTTCAATGCCACAGCCATCAAATTGTGTTGCAGATGGCAGGTACTCTTCTTTCACTGTGTGCTGTCAGCAGAACATTGAAAAAGTATACCAACTCCCAACTAAGAATGATAACTAGAAATGGGTGTATTTGTATACAGATATCCCCTCACAGGTGGCATTAACGAGGGTCCAGCCCCATGGGGCCGGACAGTCCACTCACCGATCCGCCACGGATGTAGACAGTGTGATTCTACCAACGGTTCTGCAGTGCACGATCCGCTTGCCACTCTTCAACCTTGCAGCCTCATGCCAGGAGTGTTGAGCGGATCGTACGCTGCACAGCTATTGGTAGAATCGCATCGTCCATGTCGGACCGGTGAGTGGACCGTCTGGCCATGGGGCTGGACCTTTGTTAACGCCACCTGTGTGGGGATATTTGTATTCGTATACAAATACCCCCATCTCTAATGATAACTGTTCTGTTCAGGGTTTCTAATACAATCTCATCGTGTACAATGGATAAAAGCAGTGTTTTAATATTCCACAGTTAAAGCCCCTCTGGTTAGAAAGCAAAAGAACTTGATCAACAATATGTATTTTGACTGAATGAAACACTACAGTTCACATAATTTTTTACATTTCATAAAAGTACAACACATTTCTCTAGATTCTATTAGAAATAAATGTAAACCTAACTTTACCTTTCTTTTCTCTGGCAATTTGCCTTACACCTTCTCTGAACTCAGACAAAATTTGTAGATATGGCATTACAGTCGTTTCGAGCTGCAAAACAAAATATATGGTCAACTAACAGACTTAAATAATTTCCCACAAATTTCTGATAAGAACCGAATAGTAAGAGGATCTCTGTCAGGATTCAGTGATCCCTAAAGTATAGATGGGAAAGGGTGAAGTAGAGCCACCACATTTAAGAACTATAATCCAAGGAAGAGGGAACACCATCGTTCTTCGTCTTATTCCCACACCCACATATGATACTGCATACACCCACTGAAGTACCATTCCCCCATCTCAAATCTTACAACTACGGTCAATTAATGTGAGGCACTGTCTGTCAAAGAACTGAGAGAGACTGCAGAAAACTAGATTCCTATTTGAGATGTCACAGTATCCTTCTCCTTACTGTACCTGAATACCACTCCTGCTGGGGGTGGATGGGACTTCAGTTCTATTTCAACATCTGCAGCTATCTGCACCTGGATACTTCTAAAACATCTACCTATGCTAGTGCACTTTTAAAATCCAACCTCGCTATGATCACACTACAGGCCAGTTTCTTTATTATAGAGTTGGAAGCTCCCAAAACAGTCCCAGCAGTATTCTTGCATCCAAATATAATGAGAAATTTGGTCAGTTGCATGATAATTGATTCATAACAGTATGTTTAAAGGAACACATAAGGCTCTTCAACAGGTTATCCAGTTTTTCCAGAAGCTATGGAAAGAGTTCAAATTGTTACAGCGTGTTTTCTACTTACATTTATTTTTTGACCACTTCCTCCAACTGGGAACCCAATAGACTCTTCACTTTCTATAGCACCAAAGATCTGTGTAAAGGAAAAACACATACCAGCAGCTATTTAACATGTCAACACAAAAGAAAACGTGAGCAATCTTCTTGTTTTCTTGCTCCAGGCAAATGTTGATTCTACACTAAGACTTGGATTCAGAACAATGGTCTCAAGACTGTTAGCACTGGTGTGTGAGGAGGACGTTCACCAGTTTCTCCTTTCCTCTCCAGCTTCCTTCCCATCTCTGCCGCAAAGCTGCTCCAGAGAGTCAGGGAGGCTTCTGGAACAGGATGCAGATGACACTGGAGATTACAAGGGAAACTCAGTGAAAAAAATCACCTCGTGTACACATCTCATTCCCTTCTTCCTTCAACAAGGGCCTTCATTTGATCTCAGTCCCTTCCATCTGTAAAGGAATGCTTTGGGTCAAAAGTTAACAAATCCTAGACTGAAGAAGTATACAATCAGCACACGTTCAGTCAGCTTTTCTGGAATGCTAAGTGGATTTTTTTTTCTTGAAGTGAAAATGGAAAAGAATAATCAGTTCCTCAGAATTACAGGTTGGAGGAAGACAATTCTCATCCACATTTCTCAGGGAAAGCAAGAATCAAATCTACAACTGTACAAATGGTTCTGACTGACTTCCTGCCATGGTGGATAAAAATCAATGATTTTTAAAAAATCAAATAGATCTAAATCAAAATTTAAATCAAGATTTATATTTTAAAAAACATTATTTTATTTAAATAATAAAAACCCTTATTTTTTTAAAGATTTGAATCCAAACCACTCTGCTTCCTGCCACCTAAGCAGACTATGACTATTACATCAATCATTCAAATCATGCAAGTCTCCATCTGCAGAATTTGAAATGATGGTGCTCAGGCTCCAGTTTACCAGTTTACTAAGGATCTGAAGCAAGAGAAACTTATATTACCCTGTTTCTCCGAAAATAAGACCTAACCTGAAAATAAGCCCTAGTTTGATTTTTCAGGATGCTCGTAATATAAGCCCTACCCCCAAAATAAGCCCCAGTTAAATGAAACCCTGCCCTCCACCATTGTGCGGCAACCAGATGACATGACTGTATTTGAATAAATGTAGATTGTTGTACATGACAAACAAAAACAAAAAACATCCCCTGAAAATAAGGCCTAATTTGTTTTTTTGAGCAAAAATTAATATAAGATCCTGTCTTATTTTTGGGGAAACACAGTAGTCAACAAATGAGAATAACTAGCTCAATGTTCTCCCCTGGGTTTCATATCTCAGAGGAAACTAGAACCTAGACCTACCAAGTCCCATTCCAACACTCTTAAGCAATACTGGTGCACTGGTGAACCCTCTGTACTTCTAGAATGCAGATTCTACCCAATAATTTTGATTGCACCTCCAGCCTATGATAGGCATTCACCTCACTTGGAGATGCAATTAAGGATGATTGAGGAAGTGTGTATTCTAGAAATATACATTATGCTCCAATGTACCAGCAGTGATTAAGAGTGCTGGACTGGGACTTGGGAGGTCCAGGTTCGTATCACTGAGACACGAAACCCAAGGAAGGACATTGGACCAGTTATTCTCATTCAGGCTGACCTACCTCAAGGGCTTCTTGTGGGGATTGTGTGTGGACGATCGCTGTACACATCACACCTTGAGTTGACTGGGGGAAAGGTAGGATATAAACTGCATGATAATCCTCCTTCTCCAACATTTCTATCATATCCCATGTAGCAGAGCAAGATGATCCCAAAAGGTCTTCTCCAGAAACAGAACATTCACAACATGATTCTGTTGCATAAAACATTTTCTTTTTTCTAATTTGTATTAATTCTACAAGTTTGCTATAAGAGCAATGAACATACTGACTAATCTCTATATATTCAGAAAATAATGCATCCTGGTTTTCAAAAGCTATGTTCACAAGCATGTACCTTGAACATCTGTGTCAGATAGATGCTTATAGTTTCTAGCAGCAATCTGTTTGGCATTTGCCTAGTGGTCTTCTTTGCAGCAATATAGGAATTGCAGTGACTGACCAATGACCGCATTTCTTCCAAGACTGTTCGTGTATCGATGTTGTCACATAATGCTTCATGCACTGCTACCTTCTTGTCATAAAAACTAGCAAAAAAGGGGTGGGGCAGAGAGATCCAAGACAAAAATGTTATTTACACTTAACGCTAATCCACTCTGGCTGCAGTTTTTTTAAAAAATTCTATAAAGAAAACTCAAGGAATCCTCCAAAACGATCTCTCTAGATTGGGGGAAATGCCATTAACACAGCAAGTAAGGTTCAGCATAAAACTCTGAAAAGTGTCGCACACAGGAGTATTGAAATATTCCTAACTTCACATACAGAATGATGCAGCCTGAGCTAGTGATTACAAAACAAGAGGGAGGATTTAGGAGAGGTGGTCATGGCAGTTCAATGAAAGTGCTGATCCACAGCACAGCCTGGAATGAAAAAGGTAAACTCTGTGTTAAGGGACATCAAAGAGGGATTGAGAAGAAGGCTACCAATATTTTAGAGGCTGGATAGCTCAGGGAGATGGGTAGCTGGTTGCAGAGCCAGCAATTGGGGCTGAACATGCTGCAGCTTTTGGGACTCAACTGAAGCTTTTTATTCCATGACATCCAGAACTGCCCACCCGCCAAAAAACCTGTATTTGTTCCTTGAAAGGCTTTTTGCATTGCAAAAAAACCCCCACCATAAATAAATAAAAAATAAACCACAAAAAACCCATCCCAAGAAATATAAAATAAGGATAAGGATGTGCATCGTATTCAGCTGAAGTACAAATCAAATAGGAGGTATTTGCGTGTTTCTGTGGTAACCACAGGATAGACTGGAGTAGTCAAGGAATGAAACAGCACCCTTCTCCTGCATGGACCATTCATCTTAAATTCAGCATTCTTTGAATTTAAAATGTTAAAAATAAAAAAAGAGGTGCCATAATTAAAGTGGGAAAAGGAAATCCACGGTAAATAGTTTCCAATCCACTTATTCATAAACAATTGGTTTTTGGTTTTACACAATGGAAGAACAGAGGAAGTTATCTCCTCTCTGCAGTGGTACAGCATGGCTTTCTAATGAGACTTCTGATTTGAGTCAATTTTATCAGTACAGGTGGCAGTATTTCTTATTACACTCCAATATACCAAGGATTGCAGTTTAATTTCTCTGCAATACCACATTGTATTTGAAAAAAGGTTAAAAACTTGAAAGTAGCTTCTGAGGGGAAAGAAAGAAATCAAAGAACTTGTCAAGTGAAAGAAAGATAAAGAGATATCAATCACAGTAGGCAATGAAGCATGAGGAGAAACTGTTAGCAGAGGAGATTACAACAGAAGAAACTATTGTCAAAAAATAAAAGTACAAGTCTGTAAAATCACGCACAAATGACTGGTAAAGGCAGTAAAAAACTAAAAATACTCTAAATATTCTACAGGTCACATTGTACAACAGAGAATGTACAGAGAATTAACAGCACTACCTCATTATACTGATCTTTGGAGGAGAAAGGTGGGGTAAAATATTTTAAATAAATAAATAATAAATACTGATAAAGGCCGCACTCTTCTGGGTTAACTAAACTACAAAATATTCTGGAAGAATTCCTACAGCTGTTCAGAGACAGCTCTAAACCATGTTCCAGAATCAGCAGAATAAACTGCAGCAAATATTGGGCTTACACATTTCCCTAAATTTCTGGAAAAGCTGCAAGAAAAAAATTAGAAAGTTCCACTTCAGATGAACTATGATGAAACAAATCGTCTTGAACTGTAAACTATAATTACCCTTGACTATGATTTATGAAAGTAAACCAACTTCATAAAATTATGGTTCAAAGTTAGACCATTTCCACTCAGTATAGTTAAACCAATGAACTTTCAGAAAATGTGCTAAAGCGTGGTTAATCTCAGTTTTGGCAACACTAGAAGAAGGACAGTGCTGTGAGCCTAGTGGAAGGATAACTTGTTTCCATTATAATAAACAGTTTGACATCCAAACATCAGAATACACAAGAGTAGCCAACATTTTGAGTGGCAAATACATTACTATTGCAAAATCTAAGTTCCGCTGCAAGACATAAGCCAGTGTTACATAGTTAGACAGATTGCACGATTCCCAATCCTGAGAAGTTCAGCTTCTGTTTTTAAAAATAGGGGCCACACTTTTAACCCCTGCAAAACCATACTTGAGAAATATTTGGTTAACACAGAGTGAACTATCAGAAGCTGGAGGAGTTCCAGCAGTCATGGGCAAGGCTTCAGCGCTTTCCAGAGCTCTCTTTGCCAGTGGCACAAGAAACTGTGCAGAATAAGCTTATTTATGTAAAGCTATTTAGTTTTAATTTATATTAGCACACGCTGGAATATGTGAATACAAATACATGTCACACTTCAGCACAGACTGAAGTCTGTGTATCTAAGTTTCTACCAACCTATCAAGGAGAATTTGTAAAATTCACATTTTGGACTCATCCTCTTCAGCAGGGACATATTGGCTGGAGAATTCTAAGAGCTGTAATTCAATAATCTCTTTTCAAGTGCTGAAAAAAGGCAACAGTTTTTTGGGGGATAAGAAGGGAGTCCTGCTGGTGGACTACCTCCAACAGGGTTCAACCATCAATGCAAAATATTACTGTGCTTTATTGCCAACGTTGTGAGAAAAAAAATCAAGGAAAAACGTTGAGGAAAGCTCTCTAAAGGTGTCATCCTGTTGCATGACAACACCTTGTCACACACTGCAGGTGAAACAGTGACAAAACTGACCTCCTTAGGCTTTCAAGTGATGCCCCATCCACCCTATTCTCCCGACCTGGCTCCTTCTGACTATTATCTGTTCCCCAAACTCAAAACACATCTAAAGGGACAATAATTTGGGAGTGTTCTGGAGGCAATTAATGCTGCAAATGAGTGGTTACACCAGCAGTCGGAAGAATTTTATTTGCAGGGACTTAAGATGTCACAAGTGCACTGACTTCCTGGGGGAATATGTAGAATAGTGTGGCAATTACAACTTTCTGGCTCAGTTTTTCCTGGGAAAGGCTCAATACTTATCAGCACCCCCTTGTATTATGCATGTTTTGGTTTGGATACTTCTGGGACATGACCACCCTTCTCTTTCCTTCTGCAATGCTAATATAGCTAGTTATAGCCGTAGAGTTATTCCTTGAAACATTTGTTGCCCCTCCAACAGCAGGAAGCCAATTCCTGCTGATGTTTGTGCCAGGAAAGAGGGAGCATACGGTATGTGTGGAAGGTTGCCCTACTTCAATATAAACAATGGTCATGGGTCTCTTGAGTCCTTCATTTGTATGAATATTCTGCCTTTGTTTCTTTCAGCTTTTAAGGTTAAAAAGGACAGGATGGGAAATACAAGAAGCTGGAATTTGTCATCCCAATTGGGAGGAGAGTTGCTATCTTGCTTAGTTTACATAGCTCCTGCTTCATTTTTTCCTCCCTATTTAATGAAGTTATGTCCATAAATAAGGAAGGTATCTGTATCTTTTAAATTAATTTTGATTACCTTTTGTTGTCTTGAGTACAGGACAGGAAAAGAAGAGATGTATTAAATGACCATAATGTAGGAGAACATGACAATATAAGGAAAATAAAAACAGATCAGAAAAGTAGCAATGATAAGAAGTCATGCAAAATCATTTAGCATATGCACCACAAGTCACTATGGTGCTTTGTGATTTAGTAAGGAAATAAGATTCAAGAGGGAAATGTTGTAGAAATGTAATATTATTAGGACCCTGTCTGCACCAGAGGGAAATGCCAGTTTGAAAAATGGGATCCAATGCCATTCGTGAAGAAACAAAAAGCAGAAAAGAATAGCAAAACTGGTTTCTCACTCACCTTTTATTCAGCTCTATTTCCTGGTTTTCCCATTTTTCAAACTGGCCTGTCACATCGGCAGGAGTCCGAAGGATGTCTTTCACATTTAAAAAGAACTCCTAAAGGGGGAGAGAAAGAGCCCACAGTCTGAAGTTCTTCTGTTGAAAAGCATATCATCCTGTTTGCAGTATTCATATCAGACTCACTTCTGGTCTAGAACAGGTTCTACCCACTATCTGCCAAGAAAGGCTAGCTTCTTACCTGATGTCAAACAATCTTTTTATTTAAGCTGTGCCTTGGCATAACATGATATGATGTATTAACAAAACTGCTATTGAAGGTTATATTTAACCGAAAACAAAACTTACCAGCAAAAATAGCATTCTTCATTTATGTATATAGGTAACTGTTTTATGTCCTATATTCTTCCCTATCATGTATTAAAATCCAAAGAATAATTTGTATATGCATATTTCCAGGAAATAGATATTTATTTTTTTCTCTTATTCATTAGTTTGTTGTGAATCATTTCTAGATTAGTGATGATATCCTGTACACATGTGCCACTCTTGTTGAAAAACAGCCATGACAATTGCTTTTTGTTCCTTCGTTTGTTATTGTTTTGATTTATATACTGCCCCATAATGCTAGAGCACTCTCAGGGTAGTTTAAAACATAATTATGCAAACAACCACTTGGCCCTCAGTGAGCTGGGTACTCATTTTACTGACCTCAGATGGAAGGCTGAGTCAACTTAAGTGGCTACCTAATGTATTGGGATCAAACTCAGGTCTGAGTGGAGGCTTGAGTGCAGTACTGCAGTTTAACCACCGCACCACAAGGCTCATTTTTGGGTGAAAAATAGTTAACTGATTAAAAGTAGCTAACATATGAAAAAAGGAGTCAGCTTCTGGAATTTTCCCTTGCATAATGTCACTTTGTAAATGGTAGCGAGCACAAGAATGGATCTTGCAGAGCAGATCATCTTGATTGCTGCCACCAGTGTTGTCAACATTCAGAGTAATTCCTTTGCTATTTAAAGCTTGGCATCCTTTCTCCCGCTGGCAAGGCGACCATGACACTTTGCAGCAATATCAGGCCATTTACTGCCATTTTGAATTGTGGATATTGATGTACAATATCCCATATTCATAAAATGAAGTTTTTTAAATAATTGAATCAAATTTATTACCAAAAAAAATGGCTCAGCTTTATTTATGAATACAGCCTATTGCATAAACAGCAAAAAAGAACACCTGGCAATTTTTAACAATATGTTTCAGTATCTATACAGCAGAAAAATGTACAAAGAGGAAGTTAACTTACATTCATGAATTTCTCATACTGAATAGCAGACTCCATGGTATTGCTTGAATAGTCCAATGTATCCTTCCAAGAATGCATAAGAAAAGCCAGCCGTAACTGTCGAGCTGTTGAGAGTTTTTTGAAAGTAGAGAAGTACACAAAATATACAACTGCTATACAAACTAAACAGCTGACTACAATATATAAGTCTCTTGATTGCAAACTCCCCAGTTTTTATAGAAAGCAAACTACAGTAACTCAATCAGATAAGTGACTAGCTTCCTTCTGATCAGTTCTCCTAAAAAATGAATTATTTAAAAATTACTGGAGAGCATTTTCCCCTAATAAGATGAAGGTTTTACCTGTATGCTTTTTCAGGGCATCTTTTATTGTAATAAAGTTTTTCAAAGATTTGGACATTTTACAACCAGCAATCGTTAAGTGCCCCGTGTGCAGGAAGTAGCGAACCCAATGGTCATTTTCAAAGTATGCCTATAAGATGCACAGGGAAAGACCACATAAGCTAGAATATGAATGCCTTCTAGATATAAAGAATGCAAAGAAAAAGGACTCTCCAATGTAATTCTCTCTTTCATGCACATTCCTGTGCTCAATGGTTAACATCCTGTTGTGCAGCTCTGTGTGTGCAATGGTGATGATGTCATCAAGCAGTGGCAAATGTCCACTGGTTAAAGATTACCTTTGGAAACTGCAGGGTGCTTGTGAGTCCACTGCATTGTGTACAAATTGTATGCCCCTCCAGTTCACCTTTACTCAGTGGCAACCTGCCACTGGTGATGTCATCATATCCACTGGGTACGCAGATTCCAACCACCAAGAGAGCACTGATTTTATTTTTTGTGAGGTTAGATAAAATGTCTACCATTACACAGGTGATTATGGACCCTTAAATTAGCATCTACCAGATTCTGGATATCAAGAACACTTTTTAAAAATAAAAATTGGAGAATTAGAAACATATTTTACTAAACTAAAAAGCTGCAATTTTTTTGGTCCCATTTATAACCTGTCTTTTCTCCTATGAGCCTAAAGCAATGCACAAAATAGCCATTCTACTTCAAGGCCAAAGATGGATTTGAATTCAAATATCAAGAGTTTTGAATCCCAGGAAACATAAAACCCCTGCATTTAGTTACCATTTTCTACATTTAGTGATGCAAGTACAAAAGAGAATTTGTTCCATTCTTGTTCTGTGCAAGACTGGGCAGGATAAAAATATCAAAAGAACAGCTTCTTAGAGACACTTATAAATGTAACCTCCTTTCCAATGCCACCTATTCCTATATGTAAATGGAACTTAAACTTTCTCAAGACTCATTTAAGCATGTGCACTTAATGCATGAACACTAATCAACAAAATACACAATGGTTTACAACTATCCTTCAAACAAACCCTTTTCAACCTGTGATTTCCAAATTTCCTGGATAGACCAGCAAGCACAAGGCATAATTTACTGAATACCTGTGCAAACTATGCTTGCTTATAAGCAGGAAGGAGTGTGCAAAGGAAACGAGACTTGCAACAAACAATTTAGTGAAAAAATCACTATTTATGAAGGGATAAAGGGGTTATACACCCTAGATCACACCAAACACTAAACTGTATTTGGCCATTACCTCCAAACTGTTCAGATATCACATCAAGTCACACTAAAAGGAGTTTAACTGTGACTTGACATGATATCTGAATTGACACACCATGCTCTAAAATTAGGCAGCAAAACAGAATCAGATACCAAATTCTGAAATAGGTTCACAAGGCATGGTTTGTTCTGTTTGGATTCATCATAATGTCTGAACTGACAGATTGTAGCTTCAGCCATGACTTGGTTCCACAGATTTCTGTACTTCCGAATGTTGCTAAGAAGCAACGCTATTAAAAGCAGAACATGCTTCTAAGCCATGGTATGCCTGTACATCTAACAGCTTAAATCCCTGTGCTAATATAAAGCTCCTACATATAAATGCGGGTTCTAAGCTATGGACATTGGAAATCATGACTGTGTATGAACTGTGTCAGAATTTTAAATCTGAGATGTAAAAGGAGAAATATATTCACCTGAAAAGCATTTCTGTTAATTATTATAAAAACATAGAATTATCTATCCTATTACTTCAAATTGCCCAGAAACAACACACTTATTTTCACATATTTTGCACAATGGGTGATATTTTCTTGTTAAAAGCTAATATGCTGTAGCTACATAATCAGAAGGTTTCTTTAAACACTCTCTGCTCCTTTAAAAGTGAATGTCACAGCTAAGTAAATAGAGAGCTCATTGGCAGGAATTGCAATACTTCATTACCTACCTCAGACTGTGCTAACTCATTGTCATGGTGAGGGAATCGAAGATCAAAGCCTCCGCCATGAATGTCCATTGACTCTCCTAGAAGGGATCCAGCCATTGCAGAACATTCAATATGCCAGCCTGGACGGCCCTATTTAAAATCAAAACACAGTATTCACTATGCTAATCTGTGTTTTTCAACTGTTTATTATTACATGTTTATAGTAATTATGTTCACTAACAAGATTCAAGATTATAAGGAAATTCTTATATGTAGAACTTGCATCTTATGACTTAAAATTGATTGTTATGCTTCCGATGTGTTTCACTTTGGGTACTGCTTGCCTTAGCCTGATAGGATCAGTCTACTCAAAAGTTATTTTATTAAAACTACAGTAACAACTTGGGTGGAATGAAATGATCTGCATGTTTACCAAAACTCATCAAAAGTTTTTGAAAAGAAAAAAAAAGACTGTTTGAGTCAAGCTTTTTGAAAAAGTCAATGATAACTTTTTCTAAAGTCATCACTATAGAAGACGGTATTCATTAAAAATACATTTTCATGATATTTTCAGGATAATTGGTTGCATTCTCTCCCAGGTTTTCATATCAACATTTCTATTCCCTTAATAAAGAGAGGGCCTCCTAAAAATGACTAAAATATGCTATTTGATTTTCAAGTAGGTGTTTGTGCACAAGTGTATTTTCATTGTTATATGTAATCAAGTAACTTCCAACCTGTGATGACCATATCAATTTGTAAAGTGATCTCTGTTCAGCTATTATAAACTCAAGGCTGTGGCTTGCCTCATTGAGTCATTCCATCTCATACTTGATTTTTCTCTTTTCCCAGCAAGTCTTTTCCTATAAAGATATGCCCACATTTAGTCATTTTTTGTTTCTGGACAGAGTTCATGCTTGATTTGAAGAGAACCCACTTATTTGTCTTTCTGGTGGTCCTTGATATCTATAAATCTCTCTTTCAATACTGCATTTTGAATTAATAATCTTTTCCCCTGTGAATCTTCTTCAGTCAAGCTTTCACATTCATACATAACAATCAGGAATGCCACTGCACTGATGAACCTGGTGTTGGTCTCCAGTGACACATCCTTATTCTTAAGGTTATTTTGTAGTGCCTTCATAGTTGCTCTTTCAAGTCAGTCTTCTGATTTCTTGCCTGCCACTTCTATCTGGACTGATGATTGAATCAGGGTAAAGAAAAAATTTAACATTTCTCACATCTTCATTGTCAACATTAAAGTTTTGTAATTCTTCTGCAGTCATGACCTTTGTCTTACCATTCAACTTCAATCCTTCTTTTGCACTCTCATTTTTTATATTCATCAAGTCATTTCAAGTCATTGTTGCCTTCTGGTAATAACAGTGTTATCTGCATCTTCAATTATTACTGTTTCTTCCATCAATTTTCACTCCTCCATCTGCTTTCAGTCCAGCTTTCCATATGATATTTTCTGTAGACAGATTGAGCGCAGAGAGAGATAAAATACACCTGTGGGAAACCATGCTGTTTCTCTCTATTTATCCTAAGAGTAGCCTCTTGTCCAAAATATAGATTACACATTATGAAAATCAAATTTTTGGCACATCTGTTTCTTTTTAAATGATCCATGCAATCAAAAGCTTCATTGTAATAAGTAAAGCACAAACTGATTTTCTTCTCAAATTCTTTGGCATACTCCAGTAGTCATATATTTGCAAAATGATCTCTGATGCTTCTTTCTTTCCCGTTGAACATCAGGCACTTCTTGCTCCACAGATGGGAAAAAAATTCTGTTGCACAATCTGGAGCATCACACTGCTTGCATGATAAATCAATGCAACAGTCCTGGAGCTATTATATCCTTTGCCATCACCCTTCTTGTAGTTTGAAATGTATATTGCCCATGTCACAAATGCTTTTGTTCTCCATATTTGTTGTCAAGTTTTCATCTTTTTTTTTTTTGTAGATTCAGTCTTTTTAGGTCAAAATAGTTATTGTGGTATTCCATCTACTCCTCATGATCTGTGAACAGGTTTCACTTCACTTGCCAGAACTGGCAAACTTTCAGTCGCAAGATGTACGTATACTTGGAATGCAAATTTTTGTTTGACTCAGCCTCACAGATAAGGATGACTCATGCTCACAGGTAAAGATGAGAAACTGCAAAATTTCTTTTCTCGCCAGCACTTTTTTTTTTGTGGCACTATCAACAGAAGTTATCATACTGGGGAGAAAGAATTGCACAAAACTCCAATGGCTGTCCCTTTGTTGCATGGCCTTTCAACAATGAAGAGCACCAGACTGTGCCTGGGAATTCTTCTACACTTGCTGCATGTGAATATACCGTATATCTTGAAGGAAAAGATACATCTATATGTACGTGTCTGCATCTAAACACCCAAACATATTAACCTAAACTACAGCAACACTGCCAGTTGCCTCTAGATATATAAGGAGTGGACAACTTCCTAGGGTGAGAGAGGGAAAGTTATTGTTCATCTATACTCTCCCACACACAACCAGTAGTGGCTTGGGTCAAAAGATCTTGATTCCACTCCCTCTCCAGACTTTAACCTCCAAATCACTGGACCCACTGGAGGGAGATTCTAAATTGATTTCTAAATGGGCACAAGGGAGTGCAGATCAAATGGGAAATGAATTCTCCCCATGCCATTTCAGCTAAAATGTTATTTGCAGCTTGTCACCTTCCCCCATGGAGAATCCCATGAAGGCTCTCCTGGTTTGGAGGATTTCCACAAAGCAAAGTCATTGGGAGAATGCTTCTCACTTAAACGATCTGCCGAGACGCTCAAGTCACCTGTGAAAGACAAGAAGAAAAACTTTTAATATTCAGAAACCTTATCAAAATTGTAGTTTGTTCAATCATTAGAAAGCTGCTGATTGACAGACAAATTACCTTCACCCTCCTGAAGTGCTTTCTCATCCCCCACAGCTTCAGGAACCAGCTTAGCATAGGAGTGCTTTTCAGAGGCATCAAATTTTATTGTGTCAAAATAGACAGATCCATTGGACACATAACTAGAAGACAGAAAACACAGTATTGCCTGAAGTTCCATTAGTATCAAAACAGTGTCTCAAGATTGTCACTGTATTTAAATTGTCTTGTACTTGAAGAAGAGTTTCTCCCATTGTTTTCTTCAGTAAGATTACAAACTGATGATGTGGATAGGATTCTTGGAGCTGAATGCCACTGCATGTGTGCTAGACCTTTGCCCTTCCTGGCTTATGAAGCAGCCAGAGAGGTAATGTCCAAATATGAGTGGTGAATGTCTCCTTGTGGCAGGGTAGGATCTAGCATGTTTAAATGAGGCAGTAATAAGATCATTATTGAAAAAGCCCTCCCTGGAACCCACTTTATTAAACAACTATTGGCCAGACTAAAATATCCAATTTCTGGGCAAGGCACACTATCTATACACCAACATTAATCTGGTTTCAGGTCTCACTATAAAGCTCTACATGGCTTGGGTCCAGGCTAACTAAAAACCATATCTCATATAAGTCTTCTCAGCAGAAGGAGGCCCTTCTCTCAGTCCCACTGCCAGCACGGGCATGATTGATGGGGACACAAGAGAGGGCCTGCTCCTGGATTATGGAATGCCCTCCCTTGGGAGGTCAGGTTGGCTCCCTCCCTGTTATCTTTCTGCCAACAGCTGAAGACCCACCTTTTCAGGCAGGCTTTTAACCATCATAATTGAGCCCCCAAACACCATTTTTAGTTAAGATAGCTCTTAACATATTACCCATTTTTAATTATTCAATTGTATGTTAACCAGTCTAATTGTTTTTAAAGTATATTTTACTGTGTTTTAAATTCTATTCTTTTTTATTCTGTGAGCTGCCTTGGATCACCTTATTAGGAGAAAGGCGGTTTATAAATAAGACAAATTGAAAAAAATAATAAAATAAAAGGATAAGGTAGCCTTCTCCAAGCTGTGAAACCAAACACTATAATGGCATGAGAAGATAGCATTTGTGGTGCAATTTACCTGGAGGCCACTGGGTAAGGGAAGGCTAGGCCAGGCCAACTCCAGGAGCAGATTTAAAATAACTAAAGCTTTTTGTTTATCTGAGAACAGACAGACAAGGTTCTTCCTCCAGTCCACTCTTGAGCCCTGCCATCTGTTGACCAACTGGTACAGTTTATTATTTCCTTAGAGGGGGAGCCAAATGACAGCATAGCTGGACAGTGGCTGACTTAGAACCCATACCCAACTCAAGAGGTTAATCCTCCTGCTGTCCCCTAATACTTTCCAGTTACTCAGGCTTCCCCATAAGCGATTAACCACCCACTTCATTTTCTATACATTGTACAAATCAAAGAAAAATTAAGGCTTGCTTATATTCATACTCACCCATATCCATTATTGACAATCTTTTGAACAAAGTCAACAATTTCTGGTACATATTCACTAACACGTGTTAAGACATCTGGAGGTAATACCTGCACAAAAAAAACCCCCACACAATTTGTGATCTACCTCATAGCTTCCTTATATAAGGTTCTCAAGTCTTCACAGGTAAATATTTTGTATTTTTATTTGTAGTAATAAGTTAGGAGAGAGAGAAATTAATTGGAGGCTGCACAAAGGGTCATAAAAAGCCAAACAGAAATTGATCCCAGAACCCAGTATTTTTCTTTTAACAAAATTAAAAATGTATTGTAAGTTTTTCCAAGAGCTAAATGTGAAAAATACTCTTTAAGGTTAAAACAGGAAAAACTACTGCTGAGGAAAGAACAGCAGTTCTTGTTTTGTGTCCTGTCAACATTCCAATTTTCTAGATGTGAATGTCAACTGTTTTGTATTTAAGCGTCTTGGAATGCAGTAGTTTGGACAGACCTATTCAGACTGCCATAGAGAAAAATGCCAGTATATCACATCAACAGACGCTGATGTGTCACTAAGGCAGTGGCATAACACTTTGAACAACACCCAACTCTGTTCGTTCTTGTTTCTAAGCCTTCCAAACACTGTGAGTCAAAAATCAGTAAGATGAATCAGCATGTCTACTTACATTGAGAGCTGCCATATCTTTATGATATTCTTCTTCCCAGAATTTGGGAAGCTTGGAAAATATAGAGTTGTCAGTCACCTGACTGCCCAATTTTGCATCCAGCCACTCAGAAAGTATATCTTTTGCTTCTTGCAATAACACCTGGAAAATAAATTATATGAACAGAGTAGCTAATTATCACAATGTATGATTCTCCCCAATCAAACTGACTCTGTGTTTGAATAAATGCACAGTATTAATTTCTTTGGGCCAGAAGCACATAAGTAAAACAAAGTTGACATCCTTCTGGTGGCAGCCACTTGTGTTTCACAGAAAGCCACTTCAATGGGTCCAAAGACTTTAGGAGATACTGTGAATGGGAAAGCAGTGGCTACAGTAAGGAAGACGTAGCTGAATTAATCATGTGAGCATACAGATTATATATGTAGTCATTTGTTTCTAGGCCATGAGTATTAATATATTCACAGATTATTATGGGCTCTAGTGATGTTATGCAACTTGGCCTCTACTTCCATAACGGGTTTTCCTTATCACTTTCCCTCAATATCTTTCTCCAAACCTGCTTTGGAGGTTTGTTCAACACTCTGGAGCAAATGGGTGGCAAAGAGCTACAAGAATTTCTTATAGCACCGGTATATATTTGAGTAACAGACAAGCACCAACTGATTCAACCCTATAAATTCTCACCTTGAAATATTTAAGTGGAATGCAAGTGTATTGTTTTTTGCACTATGTGCATAAATGTAAGTTCTTGCAGTCATGTTACTTTTAGTAAGCCTATTCCATAAAAGAGCACCAAACTTACAAACTGAAATCCATCGAACACAAACCTCTGCATGTTTACTGACTTCTCCTTCAGCAAGTTTCTTTTGCAGTGCATTTTCTAGAGGTTCCACAGCAGTCTTCACGGCAGTTTGAATTCTTTCTAGCATCTGTTTCTTATCCGGGTCAGTGGTTTCTTGGAGCTTAGCTGAAAAAGGCTGATTTAAAGAATAAAAACTCAATATATATCTATACACAACATCAACTGAAAGTTTCTGCAGGGTAACAAATAATCACAATCACACTTAAGCTTTTTTAACAGGGGTTTCTTATGGACTTCTTAGCTCTGTACAGATGGCTATACCCTCATGGTAAAAGCAGTTTCAAGTGTCTAGAGATTGTAGACTTTTAAAAACTGTTAAAATAAGCAAGGGAATATCAGTGAACTCCACTAAGAGAATATTAGCAGAAGCAGAAGCAAGCTCTACATTCTACCCTTTGATATCCTAATTTTGCTTCTAATTCATATTACAGGCAAGAATGTTCCCCTTAAAAACATGCTTTCAATAATCACAAATGCTGAAAAAAGGAAAAAAAACACAAAATTCTGCTCTCAGTATTCTTCAAACTAAAAATATTTCACCACCTTTATTGAACAATTTTTCTTTCAAAATAATATTTTGGGGAAGAAACTGCAATTTGGTTGGTGATCATGAAGGTAATGAAAGGGAGGGGAAGTGCGCGAAGATTTCAAGAGAGAAGGCAGCAGCTATACATAGACTGAGAAAAACATGACAGGAAAAAGCTTTTTGCTTCCATTAGTAGCAGTTCACTCCACAAACTAGTATATGACATTACAACAGAAACTATGAAGATGTTCCTACCTCTATAATGGAGGATTATGCCATGGGTATAAGGAATGCCAAAAACAGAGGCTAGCAGGGCCAAGGGGAAGAAACCTGAATAGTGGTGGTAGTAGCAATGTCATACTAAGGCTTTGGCTGCCTTTTGCACAGTATTTCCGTGTGCAAGCAAGTCTTAAGTATCCTGTAGGTTTCTTTAGGATTCATTTAGGATTTCAGCTTTGGTAAGTACAGACAGCAGCCTAAATCCTGCATTGTGCTTGCAGCCACCTAGTGCAAAGTGGAACTTCTTCCTTTCCTCTCCCCACTGTAGTCCTCTGTGTTTCCTGAAAATATGCTCTAGTGGATTCAGAGCAGGTTCTGGGGGCACACTGGGGTACGCAAAAGGGAGGGGAAAGTACTGTTGATAGCAGCAGTTACTGGAACAACCTAATTGGGTCCAGGCCAGTCAGGGATGCCTTTAAAGAGGCTGAGTGTAACCTATTTCAAGTACTGATGTGGGTGGCAAGGACTGAAGGAAAACAAGCAGGTGGCTGGGAAGAATTCCTCCTCTGCCCCAAGGCTTTTTAAAAGGAGGCTTAGGCAAGAAAGACAATGAAGTAAGCAGCAGAGCAGGGAACATCTTTACCTTACAGGCAGTCTGGACGTCTTCAAGCAGCTGTGCTGCTGATGGCCTCTTTTCTGTATATTGTTCAAAGAGATAGTTTTGTCTTGCTCTTTTTATAATCTACAACACAAAGTGATATACATATATGCAAAACATTTCCAAGCACAATCCCCTCTGATGCACTACTAGTGCATATTTTTCTTGTCACTTCATATCTGTAACTCTCCCCTCTCCTGTCATGTTCTTTTGAAAATGTAATTGTAAGCTTGCCTGGCAGGGGATGTACTCCTCTGTTTAGGTCACTCAATAAATCTCCCGTGTTTATTGATGTTGCCATGCAAATTATGAAATCATCCCACTGATGGCATCTGTGAGTCTCATTCCAGAAGTCAATCACATTAGTTTCCAATTTTAGATTTACCTTGTCATCTATGTCTGTAATATTCATACAGTAGAAGATGTTGTACTTGAAATAGTCTTTAAGAACTCTTCTCAGTATATCAAATGAGATGTACGACCTAAAATAATTGAAAAGTTAGGCAGTTCTAGCAGAAACCTCACATGCAATAAGTGGCATCAGCTATGCTCAGAAACCATCAGATTTTTTAACTCTAGGCAAGCTCATGCTGAAAGGTTTCCCTAATATCAACAAGTTTTTCTCTGCACACACAAATAGCAAGTGATAGGGGAAGGCAAGATTTAGCCTGTGAGTTGGACACCAGTCTCATTGGAACCAACCTTCAATTGTCTTGTTGCTCATACAATGACCATTAAAAGAGCCTCTTAATTTATTGCTGATTTTGTTTCAAAGTTATGTCACTGCCTGAAAAGCCTGGATCCTGATTTTAAACATCCAAAATGAGAAATGCAGGGTTTCATAGATACAGTGGGGTCTCGACTTACGAACTTAATCTGTATTGGAAGGCACTTCTCAGGTCGAAAAGTTCTTAAGTCGAATCTGCATTTCCCATAGGAATGCACTGAAAACCATTTAATCCGTATCTGCTCTTTTCGTCCATAGAAACTAATGGGAAACTGCTATTCTGCCTTCTGCCACTAGATGGGGATATTTTTTCTTTTTTCCTTTTAACCTAAGATGACTTAGCTTTTAAAAAAAGGGAAAAAAGAGTTCGTAACTCGAATCTAAGTTCGTAAGTCGAGTCCATATATTCCTATGAGAGCGGTTCGTAAGTCGAAATGCTCGTATGTCGAGCCGTTCGTAAGTCGAGACCCCACTGTACTCATAAGCAGAAAATTCAGCTGATGTAGTGAGACAGGTCATATTTCTTAACCTGCAAGTAATTATTTTTAATTAAAATACTGAACATTACATTATTAATGTATTAAGTATATAAGAGGAGCTGCTACTAATTTGAAAGGACTACGCTAGATAACATGAAAGTGAAACATGCTCTGGATCCATAATGATTAATCAAGAAGGCTTAGGAAAAGACTGCATTGGTGGTGGGGAGACTAAATATAAATGGATATCTCTGGGTTTGCAACCATGGGTCAAGTAGGACATTCAGTAGCAATTTCCTTAAGAGATTTAGTACATCTACCGACATTAATGTGGCATAACAATTTCATTTCAGGCTTTCCTCTTCTAAATCTGAAATCACCTGCTGTTGAGACCCCACTATACCTTGCATGTCCCATGTGGGACGCATCATACACTGTTGGACCACAGCAATACCACTTCACTATGTTGCCATTTTGGGGCTGAAATACATCCTTTGGAGAAAAAACAGAAAATGCAGTTAAAAGGAGCTAAACAAGTGCATTTTGAAGAACTGAAGTAAACAAAATGGTTTGAAGAGATGGTCATCAACAAATGCAAAACCTCACCTTACTCCGAGTGAGACTGTTGTACAGGCAGAGTTTGGGCAATGGTGTTCCTTGGGGTGGAGACCATGGAGGTTGGGTACGCTTGCTTTTACCTGGAAATAATTTTAAAGCTTTGCATGAGTTTTCCATTTTAAAAGAATCACCAAATGACAGTGTCAGAGTAAAGAAATTCAGAATATCTCTGAGTAACGCACACTCTAATTTTCAGCCCCACTGGACAGGGCTCCACTTCTCCCTTGAAACCCCCCCCCCCCCGCATGCTGGGTTCCATCATGGAAAAACCTAACACGATTGCTCCGTGGAGAAGGAAAACAGCTGCACGCAGAGAGGCAGAAACGCACATGTGCCCAGTTTAGTGGGAATCTTGCCCCTGAGTTATATCATTAGTTATTTCAAAAGGAATGTTCGAACAATAGCTATTAAAGAAAAAGCCAGCTGAAGTGGCAAGAAAAAGCAGCAAGGTGTTGAAGTACGGAGTTCTGCACATGTCTGCATCTCCTAAACACCAGCATGGTTACCTCAGAGGTCATGCAAGATGCTGTCCTATCAATGTTGTGCTGAAGTAAGAGTCATCCTTGACCCTATCGACTGTACCCAAAAGTTACGAGGGACACCCTCTTTTCCTTTGCCTCAAGCAGCACCACACTGTAGACTAGCCCAGTTTGCTATACAGCACTCTCCTGCACAGGACGTCTCACCCTGGAAACCTTCAGGGATTCCAAAAAGGCCTGACTGATTCCAACGTAAGTTCATACTGAAGGTTGCTAGTCTGAGAAAAGAAATGGGCTTTTCAATTAAAGTAGCAAGCAATTAAGTTGCCAGGAACTTCAGCAAGCAAGCAAGCCAACCAACGAAAAAACCCAAACAAAAACACACACAATGTAGCAGGAACAATGCAAATATGTTCCATATCAATATGTATCTATCTTCGTTATGCATTTTTTTCTTTGAAACAAGTTTCACTGTGATCAGCACAACTTGTGCCCTAGTCACCATCCTGGTGACTGCTGCATTAATGCAGCTACGTATTTGCTTAAATTTGACCAAGTCATTATTTTCAGCATCTCCTGAGGTCTGCCTGCCATCAACACATCTATAGTACACATACATATTAGTTAGCATATGAGGGATACACAACATCCCTCAACATTCAATACACAACCATACACAACATTCTTAAGTCACAGCAACTTTAAAGAATACTATAAGAACAAATTATTCAGAAGTAATGAATGAATTCTAAGACTGGAACAAATATTAGTACTTTTATAGGGATCGACAAAGTATTATGGCAATTTGTGATAGACGCAGAAAGATTTGGCAGCATATTCTGTACAACATGTCAACACTTTGCTTTACACTGAAAAGCATCTTGAGTTAAACATAGGAAGCCCCATTCACAGGTGTGCGAATGAGGAATGGCTCAAGGCTCACATAATAAAACTGTACATTTGGGTTTACATACCAGGGCTGTTCCCCCTGTAAGGTTGCACTACTACACACATGTACCCAGAGATATGTCTCATTAACTCAAGTGGGCATACATATTTCTCAGTACATATACAGTACTTGGTATTACACTGTTCACCAGTGTTCTCAACTGGTTTGCTGAGTGAGAGAAGGAAATTCTTTGAAAAAGACAAGCCCAAGCTTCCCTCTGATGTGTTCAGATCACATCCCAGACACCGAGAACAAGTATTTTAGAACTAGTTCTTATTTTATAAGTGCAGTGAATATACATGCTGCCAACAACTGCCTGGCTTCTTTACTTAAGATCTTGTATCTAATCTTAAAGGCTGGCATTCTGAAAAGAAAACAAGAAATCCTTAATCAAGCTAGAATGCCTGCTTATATCAGAGCTTAATATGTTTACAATCAAAGTATAAAGAGCCTTCATACTCACTGAAATTGAAATCTACAATACAGTTCTCACACAACATTCCTGAAAAGCAGAATCAGAAATTGAAAACTATTTTTGATTGTTCTTCCAGCTTGCTGTCTGGTGTCCTCAAAGAAAAATGCCAACATTCAGTTACACCCCTTACAAAGGCATGCTCTGGCACTGACCTTTTAAGTGTATTACTGAGGGAACTTGCCTTTCTGAAATACATCTGGATGCATACACCTATGAGGATGGACTTCACTTGGACACTGGTGGTAATCTTAGGATTTTATAATCAGAAGGTATTTCCAAGTTCACCTACAACATTCTAAACAGCATGGCAGCATTCACTGTAGGTATTTAAGGGAATCTATGCTTTCAAATCCTGAGGGAACTCCAACAAAATGTTATACATCTTCCTCCTCCTTCTCCTTGTTCATTTGAATTACAAGAGAAATGGGAGAGGCAGTAAAATCCATTTTTACCATGTTACTGACACCTGGTGGGGTGCAGTGGTTAGAATGGACTGTGAGATCCAGGTTATAGTTTTTGCTAAACTGTGAAACTCAATGCATGACTTTGGGCTAGTTGCTCTTTCTTAGCCTGACTTATGTCCAGTGGTGTGAGAACATGACAGGGTAGGGGCCCATACACTCCACCATGTGCTCACTTGAAGAAAAGAGTGGGGGATTAGGAACCAAACTAACAAATGTTAAAAATTACATGTATTATTTAGCTCCTAGATCTGGAATGGGCAAAGTGCAACTCTCCAGAGGTTGTTGGATCATAATTTCAAGCATCCTTGTACACTAGCTATGGTGGCCAAGACTTCAGGGAGTTGCATTTCAACCATATTTGAAGTCTACATTTTACCAACCGTAATGTAGAGGAAGAAGGTTACTAAGCCAAGTTCTTAGCAGAGAAACCTGTAGTCACTGATGATGCAAAATCAACACACCACCTAAAACCAGTAGCCCCTCTTATTTCTTATCCCCAGTAATGCCTCTGCATGTATTCCAGGCTTCAGAAAGATCTACCATACAGTGTTTTTTTCCCTGTGAAAACTGGCTCTAGAGAACAATAAAAATAATTGAAATAAATCCATGAAATGAAGGTGTTAAAAATAGTGTGATAAGACACTCACACAAACACTGGTACATATTGCTAGGTCAAGCAGACTAATTTAGGATGCTGTCATATGTAGAAGCAGTTATCAACATAGTTATGTCTTCCAAAAATCTTTTCCCCTGGCCTATACGGAGTATACAGGACTTATCTTCACAGGATTGTGCAGATATAAAATTCCACTAATCTAACTCTGGGATATGCCTTCAAGTGGAAACAAATAATAAATAAATAAATAAAAGGACACAACTATTTTAGATTCGATTCTGTCCAGCCCCTGTTGACTGTTCATAATCTGTTATTCACATCCATTGAACATATTGCTAATCCACATAATAATGTTTAGTTTTGTATGTAAAAATTAATCAAAAGGTCATCAGGTAGGCTCACTTTTCTCCTTCTAACACTTAAGAGTTATTGAATTATTAAACATTAGAAAGTGTGTGTGTTCCTGACCCGACTCCATCCAACCTTTTGGAGCCACGGCCTTTTGGAGATGGGGGAAAGAAACAGCAAACACAGGAAGCAACCAGTCCAACCAACTGTATTTCTTTTATACCCACTATACCAGTGTGGTCTAGTGGATAGAATAATGGAGGAGACCTGGGTTCAATTCTCCTGCTGTGTCATGGAAATTCATTGGATAGGGTGGAGTGTTGAACTAGTAAAACCACTCCTTCAATACCTCACTTACCTTGATAACCCTATTAGGTTTGCTATAAGTCAGTTCCGATTTGATGATGTACAACAAGAAGAAGAACTGGGAAGATCTAGGCACAAATTACCACTCACCCCTGCAGCTCACTGGGTGACCTTGGGTCAATAATTCTCTTCCTCACTGAAAACTGATTTACAGTTGTAATGTGAGGAAAAAGTGAGGAAGGAAAAATAATAGCATATTCTGGACTCCTTGAAGGAAGGATGAATTTAAAATGTACCGTATTTGCCGGCGTACAAGATGACTTTTTGGGCCCAAAAACATGCCTCCAAGTGGGGGGGGGGTTTGTCTTGTACTTGTGCACTTCATTTGGGCCAGGAAGGAGCTGCTGCCGCCGCTGTTGAGTGAGTGATGCGGGGCCGCGCTAGCAGGGGAGGAAGGCAGTCGGGCAGGCAGGCAGTCGGTCTGGATAGAGGGAGGGAAGCACAGCCTGCCATGCCTCAACGGCCAGAGCCCGCCGCCGGGCTGCCCGCCACCCCGCACTGCTGAGCCAGCTGCATGCTCGCTCGCCCGCCACCCACCCATTTCCCCTTTTCCTCCTCCTCCTCCTCCTCCTGCCGCCGCCTGCTCAGCCTCTTCCCCTCTTCCTCGCCCTCTCGCTGCCATGCCTGAGCGCCCAGAGCCCGCCGCCGGGCTGCCCGCCACCCCGCACTGCTGAGCCAGCTGCATGCTCGCTCGCCCGCCACCCACCCATTTCCCCTTTTCCTCCTCCTCCTCCTCCTCCTCTTGCTGTCGCCTGCTCAGCCTCTTCCTCGCCCTCTTGCTGCTGTGCCAGTGCACGCACTTGCCCGCCACCCCCCCGCTTCCCGTCTTCTTCTTCCTCCTCCTCCTCCTCCTGCCGCCGCCAGCCCAGCTTCTTCCTCGCCCTCCTCCCCGCCAGCCATGACCTTCCAGGGTGGCCCGGGCAGAGCCCCGGGCAGCCAGCGCCGCAGCAGAGCCATCCACTCTATACAGTATTTTGAGTGGAAATGTTGGGGGGTCGTCTTATACAGCCGGTCGCCTTGTACGCCAGCAAATACGGTAATTCATAAATAACTGTAATACAAAAAGAAATTGAGGCTGAATATTCACTGTGATGTCCCAGGATAGTATATGGCTATCAAATATAGGAGCAGAGAGGAAAATAAAAGTCATAAAATACCACTTGATGGATACTTTTAAAAAAAATCTAATTTAGAAGCAAAATCCCAACATAAGCCATTACCTCCCTGTCATTACTCACTTGTTTGGAGTTTACAGGAGTCATGTTTTTCACTGCTGCCATCATAGATTGCTTCTATGTGCCTGTACCAACGAACCACATGGAAATACTGGTCCACAGGTGGGCCGGAAAGCTGTCTGAAAGCTTCCACATCTGCATGTGAAAATGTGTACCCCTGGATATAACTACGAGTGCTGAGGTACTCATTCAGAGCCTTCAACCTGGCTTCCTCTTCACTAATGCTCAGAATACAATGGTAGTCAGAAGCTGCAAAGACAGAGGCAAATGACAAGCAGTCAGATCCCTTTGTTTAAAAGTGCCCAGAAACAAAGCAGCCTATGTATGGTCTAGGAATGCAGATAAGCACATGTTATGGCACAGAAGCCCCAGGTTTGTTTGCTGTCCCTGAGGATAGATAGGAAACCCAGTGTATTAAAGAAAAAACAGGAAAAGATGGAGAACTGTTATATCTTGGACTCCTTGCAGGAGGGGTGAAGTGAATAAAACATGCAATAAATGGGGAATAGGGGAACTTTTAAAAATCCTTTTTGGTCCACGATAAGAGTCCTTTATCCCTTTAACCTTGAGAACCAAGTGCCTTCCAAGTGGAGTATAACTCCCAAAGGCCAAGCTGGAGATATCAGGAGTTTAGTGAAAAACTACAACTGAGGGCACCTAGTTGGCATAGGCTGGACTTGGTTATCTTACACCAAACACAGTTGTCTGGATACGGGAATAAAAAAAAATTCTGTCCTAGAAAAGAAAAAAAAAAGCAAACAAAAGGAAAAAGCTAGAAGAGTTCAATGTATGAAAAAGAGCTGATATTTTTGTCTCCGTTGGGGTATAAAATACATCCGGCAAACCCAAGGAGAATTTACCACCAATCATATTCTTCCACCTTTTCCAGGACAGAAATATGTATGCAGAGGTGGACTGAAAACTTTGCAGATATAATCTATAAATACAGTATATGTAACAAGTTACAGTTGTTTATAAAAACTTGTTTCAAAATTAATGGGAACCGTGGCTTTAACTCTGGAATAAATTTGTTAACACTTAAAAGACAGAAAATGAAAAGTGGAGATTGATATCTTATCACTGGCCATACTGAACATGGCCAAATGAAGCTAGAGTTCAACAACACTTGAAGTGCCACAAGTTCCTCACCTATGTTGCAGATAAAGACCCACAATGAGGCTCATATTAGGTGGCATCACAAAACTAAACCATCTCACCTAATAATCATTTCTATCTTTTCAAAGCTATTCCTGAGGAACTGCTATAATTTTGCATAAATGTCATTACTGCAAAATGGTAATAACTGAATAGTCCTTATATTAAAATCTGATTACCTAGCAATGTAGGATTCCAACTATCTCAATGAGAATAGAAAAGGTCCAATGATTTTAAGACATGATCTTAAGGATCATCGTACTTTAAAATAAATAAAAAGAAATTAACAAAAAATCTACAGCATATGAAGTACAGTGGTGCCTCGCATAACGTTTTTAATTGGTTCCAAAAAAAAAAACCTTATGCGAAAAAAACTTTATGCGAAACACCATTTCCCATAGAGATGCATTGGAAACCGGTTAATCCGTTCCAATAGGCACGGATTGCCGTCCTTAAGCGAAAAAACCCATAGGAAACATCGTTAAACGATACAATGTATCCTCCATTGGAATGTATTGTAGCTGACTCAATAGGTTTCAATGGCTTTGCGAAGTCAATTTTTGCAAAATTAAGTGTGTCATAAAAGGGTCAAAAATGGTTTTAAATGCTTGGATTAGCTTCTGCACCCTCTAAAACGGATGCAAAAGTTAATTTGGCTTTGATCTGACTTTTCGTTAATTAATGGTGAATTTTTTTCCCCCAACTTTTGACAGCTGTCAAAATCTGACAGCTCCATTAATTCCTATGGGGGAAGAAAAAATTCACAAAAAATTAATGAAGACTCAGCAACTGTTCTAAATTCTTGGGTTCGTTAGAGGACCCCCTAAGTTGTGTGCAAACCTGATTTGGCTTTGATCTGAACTTTCGTTAATTTTTTGTAAATTGTTTTCTCCCCCATAGGAAAGCATGGAGCTGTCAGATTTTGACAGGTCCATTGGTTCCTATGGGCCAAAAAACAAAAATTCACAAAAAATTAACGAAACGTCAGATCAAAGCCAAATCAGGTTTGCACATGACTTAAGGGGTCCTCTAACGAATCCAAGCATTTAGAACCGTTTTGGACCCTTCTAAGACACTTTTTAAATTGAAAACAAAAAAAACGTTAAGCGAAGCAGGGGACCTAAAACCAAAAACGTTAAGCGAAGCATGGTCCCAAAAACGCTATGCGAAAATCGCCCATAGGGAAAAACGTTATACGAAGCACAATCTGCCTCTGAAAAAATAAACGTTAAGCGAAAAAAACGTTAAACGAAGCAAACGTTAAGCGAGGCACCACTGTATCTAGTAAGGACTGGTGTTTGACTACTGAAAGTAATGAAGGCGTATCAGGCAAACTCAGGCTATCGTATTTTCTCATCTTAAAATGTGCAAACTATCTGGGCTGGTGGTAAAGAAAACTGAGGAGAAAAATTGCTAAAATGATCAAAATGAAGTAAGCAGTAGCAGCAAAAGGGGTTAAGCAGATGATAATGCAGAAGTGCGACAGAAAGCAGAAGTGAATGAAATTAAAGATTCATCAACAAAAACATTTGGTCTCAAATAAATACACTCAGCTTAAATGCATCACTTCACAAAAGTCAATTTTATCTCCCTGTAAAGCCTGCAATGAGATTGTGATATTATACTGCTCTTTCTCTCCTTAATAGATTTCGTGTATTAAGAAAAAAGAGACAGCACTGGGAAAACGCAAACTGATTAGAAATGAGTAACACCATCTTGATACGTCTTGAAAATAAGTGAACCACAGTAATAAAGCTTTAATCCGCAAGCTCCCCAATTTTTATATATGAACCATGATAATTGCAATAGAAGATGCAGGAAACCACCAACAATTCAGGGTAAGATAATCCCCAAGTCTCATAAAAACAAACAAGAGCATATACTAAGATTCACGTTTCCTTTGTCCACTCGCTATTTGATGTGACTCATAGCCAAACTGGCTTTAGTAATGTCAAGATGTAATGCTAAAGATGCAGCCTCCATGTGAGTTTTTGCCCCTTCTTTTATGTACTAGTAAATGTTTGCATAAGGTTTAGAGAGATCATGCATTTTCAACCATCACTCAAATTGAGATCACCCTATAGCATGGAGACTCCACTGGATGTCTTTAAAAAAAATTAAAACTGTATTATAACTGTATTATAACTACTCTTACATGGGAGGCCCCAGAAAGAGATTATGTAGGTTTCTCGGCAAAGTACAGGATGTGTGTCAGCAGGAAACTCTTCTTGATGATACTTAAATATCTTATAATAGCATACCTGAAAACCAGTTAAAAATTTTTAATTTGAAGGCTTAAAAGATGTTGTAATTATCCACATACAGTACAGTATATATATCTGAGATCCACATCTCAACTATTAATTTCCTTTACACAAGTATAAGGTTACTGTCATTATATGCAGTCACCTTCAACTGGATACAGTACCTGGAAACAAAACTATGCTCACAAGATACGAGGGGGTGCTGATAAAGTATTGAGCCTTTCCCAGAAAAAATGGAGCTAGGAAGCTGTAAATGCCACACCATTCTACATATCCCCCCAGGAAGTCAATGCACTTGCGATATCTGTCCTGCAGTTTCTTAAGTCCCTGCAAATAAAATTCTTCCAACTGCTGGTGTAACCACTCATTTGCAGCATTAGTTGCCTCCAAAACAATCGCAAATCATTGTCCCTATAGGTGTTTTTTGAGTTTGAGGAACAGATAATAGTCAGAAGGAGCCAGGTAGGGAAATAGGGTGGAATAGGGTGGATGGGGCATCTCTTGAAAACCTAAGGAGGCCAGTTTTGTCTTTGTTTCACCTGCAGTGTGTGTGATGAGGCGTTGTCATGCAACAGGATGACACCTTTGGAGAGCTTTCCTCAACGTTTTTCCTTGATGTTTTGCCTCAGCTTCGTCAATAAAGCACAGTAATCTTTTGCATTGATGGTTGAACCCTTTTGGAGGTAGTCCACCAGCAGAACTCCATTCTTATCCCAAGAAACTGTTTCCATTTGCTTCTGCACTGTCCTTTGCACTCAGAACTTCTTTGGCCTGGGGGAACCACTATGCCGCCATTCCTTAGCCTGTTCCTTTGTCTCAGGATCATAACAGTAGATCCATGTCTCATCACCAGTTACCAGTTTGCCCAGGAAATGTGACTCATTTCTTGCAAAATGTTCCAAAACAGCCACCCATGACTCCACACGTTTCCTCTTTTGTTCGGTTGTCAAAAGTCTGTGGATCCACTTTGCTGCCAGCTTTCTCATTTCCAAGTCGTTGTGGATAATGGCACCAACTCTCTCACAGGATATTGCCAGATATATAGAAATACTTTTGGCTGATATTTGGCCATCCTTCACGATCATGTCATGGATGGCTTTCATATTTGCAGGCACAGAGATAGAAACAGGCCTTCCATTGGGTTTCTCACTTTCCACACCGAAATGGCCAGTTTAAAAAAGGACAACCCAACGTTTAACTGTTGCATATGAAGGGCCACTGTCACCCATAGTTTATGACATTTTCATCATGGATCTGCTTTGCACCTTTCCCTTGGAGAAACAGGAACTTGATTATAGTCCTATGCTCTTCCACACTGAACTTTTCTGGAGGTGCTCCAATGTTCACTTTGGAGCCGAAAATGAAAGATACGTTAAAATCATAGGTAGTTGATTTTTGCACCATTGAATATCGACAAATTGGCCAATACACCCTGCAATTTATAGCTTCCTAGCTCAATTTTTTTTCTGGGAAAGGCTTAATACTTATCAGCATCCCCTCGTATATGGTACATGCTGAAGAGAGGGAATGGCCCAGCAGATAGGGGAGCAGATCAGAAGACTCTAGCACAGTTTTCAGGCTTAGGACTCACCAGCCATTGTGAGCAGTAACCCAGCTAATTCTTAGCCATATATGCCTATATTTTCTATTTCTATCCATGGGGGATTGGTTCTAAGCTTTCCCACCCTGCCACAGAGCCTGAAAAATATGGATTTTAGAGAATGCTATTTTAATGGCAAATGATAGAGACAGCATGGTTTCTGGCCTCCTCTAGTGGCCAGGCCAGTTCCAGTAACTTCATTGTTAGAAATACATATTTCTAGGATTATT